ATAAAAAAAAAAAAACTCAAAGAGAAAAAAAAAAATAAAATAAACTAAAAAAAAAAAAAAAAAAAAAAAAAAAATAAAAAAAAAAAAACTCAAAGAGAAAAAAAAAAATAAAATAAACTAAAAAAAAAAAAAAAAAAAAAAAAAAACTTTCAGTATTTTAAGTTACTGGTTTCAAAAAGTGAACTTTTGATTTAGATTAGCACTAACATAGCACAGATGCCCAAAAAGCTGTGAAATAACCCTTTATTACACTCAGACCAGCTTCTGTGTTGTTTTATATTTGGAACCCAAAACTTTACTAATTTTCAAGCAGTTTTTAGGTCAACATTTGTTCACGTTTGCAGTGTTCTGAATCTTATCAAATGGGCAAGAAATGTGTAGAAATTTCAAACAAATTGTGGAAAAACCCCTGTGTCGAACAATAACAATTAGAAGAGTCATATTACTCTGAATAACAAACAGCATGGTTGCTTCCTTCTTGACGTTTTCGATGTTTTTGTTCTATAACTTAAACAGTTCCAGGTTTATGGTGTTTTTTTTTTTTGGTAGATGACTACCACTTTTGGCAGTTATCTACCACTTTAAGCATTTCTAGAAATACAATTGAGGAATGGTGGTGGCAGTTTCTATTCAATGGCCTATAAAGCATCCTCTTACACTCAGAATTAGGTCTAAACACATTGCAAGATCACAAACTTTACAAAGAAAAGAATAAAAAAGAGATGCTAAAGTGTTGGAATGTTTTTGTTGGCCATATTCAGTCAAATATTTAGACTTTGCTTTCAGAACTGGAGTGGATGTAAGTTACACTTTGGTGCTAGTTTTGCACTGAGCTAAACTTGAATCTCAACACTGCAAATAGAGGTGCTGAAAATACACTAATGAAAATGAAAGGAAAGCTTTATTTATTTTTAAGAGGTCAAAAAAGTTTATTAATGATGTATTAAAGAATATCATCCAATGAAAATAAAAGTCATCACCATAAACCTAAACAAAAGTCAACAGCTTAGAAAAGTAAGCATGTATTTTTCAACATCAGTACCATGCAACTGGTAAATATTTTACTGGAAGTATCCTCCTCTGGGTATGTTTTGCTGCCAGTAGAATTGGTAGATTGCCCGAAGTTGATGGAATAATTAAAGAGGAGGGGCTGGCTCATAACTTCTAACACTTGGCATAACTTCAGACCATTATGGTTGAAACTTGTACGGAACTGTAACTCCAGCAGGACAATGATCCCAAACAGACATCAAAACTGATTGTGTAATGCATGAAGCAGCCAAAGTTACGGTTTAAAAACAATATGTCTACATTTTTGACCTCAGTTCTGTCAACAGTGTGCAGACTGTGCCTGAAGAAGTTCTTAGGTGTCACTGGCAAACAATCACTTTAAATTAAACTTCACTGTAATAACTGAAAGAGTGCTTTTTCTGTAGCTAACCACATTTTGGTGACTGTGGGATTTGGAATCAAGCTTTGAGGCTTTAGAGCAAACATGGCAAAAATAAACTATTACTTTATGGCTTAACGTTTTTTATATTTTATGTGTTTTTCGGGTTTTTAAGTCAGAATAATTTGTCCCTAAAATAAAGTGTCACTACTCTTAAACTAGCTCTTTTATTTTTCCGTCTTTCATCTGTGACTGGTCCGGTGGTAGAGCCGCAACGATAGGTGTGCATATTAGAGGAAAAGAGAAAAGGGAACAAAACAAAACGGGCACCTGACAGGACACACAGTGAAGGTGTCCTACCTTTAATGTCAGTTCAGAGTTCCTGAATGAGCTGACAACCCCAGCCCACACAATCTATTGTCTGACCAATACTCAGATCAGTTGTTTTCTTTTTTTTTTTTGCTGGGGGGCATATATTTTTTTCCGCATATATAATTTTTTCTCTCTTTTCCTAAAAACATGCCAGATGTGACTTTCCCAGCAGTAATAGCAGAAGTGTAAACTCCCCAGTGTAACAATCCCATACCAGCCAGTTGGCTTTTTCCAAAAATCAAACAAAAAGTAACAAACTTCAGCCCCACTAAAACTGCAATGCAACCGCCTGGGTTGATCTGTCCTGAGGTGAAGGTTGCCTTTTTCTTTTTTTTAGAAACCTTCTCACGCTCTGCTTTCATTTGTTTCTTTTTTCTTTTCTTAACAAAGCTCTGCTACAGCAGCTCGACACACACCAGTTATAATTTTCATTAACCTCCCATGTTTCACCAACCCATTCTAAAAGCTCGGGCTAACTTTGGCGCACCCCTACCGGTAAGCTGTTAAAGCTGCCAATAATTAAAATAATAAAAACAAATACAGAGGAGACAGCTACAAATGTGAACAACACTTGTCATTCAAGAAAACGGATGAAAATCATTGTTCTGTCTCATAACTTACCTTGAACATCTTAAAACTAAATCACAAGTGCAGAGCATCAAAATCTCAAGATACATGTTTAGTTAAAAATGTAAAGGAAGGATTATTGTTTTAATAGACAGAGTCTGCCTTAGACAGAGTAGTGCACTCGTGGCAGTTCATGCGTAATTTACATCTGTAAAATTCTATTTAGATCTTTTTTTTCTTTTTTTTTTTTGTTGGTGGTGTTTTATCAATACTCTAAAAAGAATAGGTTGCTGACTGTTTTTATGTCTGGATTTTGTCCCATTAGTCCAGGCTTAGGAAAACAGCAGCCTATCATCTCCAGCTCCATTTTTAACTTTTAGATAAATGTCTTTTGGTTTTCTGCCTGGTCAGTGCAGGAACATTAAAAACAAAGAGTACGTCAACTTGTTGTTTTCCTGCCTGTTTTTCTTCTGTCTTTTTTTTCATATTTGCTGCATTTGCAGTATATCTGATACCCAGAGCATTGTTTGATATTCCATTTTCTGGCTCCCTGAACAGTTTCCCGAGGACAATATTATGACATGCTCTCATGCAACACCCCCACCCCGTCTTTTCTCCACTGTAATTCAACTAAACTAAATATTTGTTTTGTTTCCTCAGGGGGAGAGAGGAGCTCCCGGGCCTGCTGGACCACCAGTAAGAATAACACTTTTCATACTGATGATACACTATTGTAACAAGCCACTTTCATCTAAATCAAAAATTTAAGCTAGTCATTACATCAGGTGATAAAAGACATTGACCAAGAAAGCCGATAATAGGCCACCGTGATATAACATGCAACCCACTGTATGCATTTAAATCAGGGAATGGCACAAACAGTTGGGGAAACTCTTTTGCGCTGAATGAATGCCTTCACACTGTAATCCTGTTAGCACTGTACGAAAATATTATCACTGTAGACTAAAGACACACTGCTACGTAATTTACAGATTTTTGTTTCTTTAGAGTCTTCTTTATAAGATATTGTGCATGAAAATTGGAATTATAGAACAGGACAGATTTTTTTCTAAAGTGATTTAAAGTTGTGAAAACAAAACAAAGTAGCTGTAAGTGCAAAAGGAGAGACGTGTAAAGCTCACTCTTCTTCCAAATGCCACCAGTGATGCGTAAAATAATTTTTTTGAGGCAACTACTTAGGATACATTTTCTTTCTCATAAAGAATTGCAACGTTATGTAGACTTTAAAACCAAATTATAAGAAAGCAAATGCAGAGATCACTGTACTGATGAGTAAATCACTATTTAAAATGTCTTATCAAATTCATCAAGTCCAAAAAGGATGCTTATTTTCTGTTTTGTTTTCCTCATCTCGCAGGGACCCCCAGGATCCTTTGATTTCCTGCTTCTGCTGATGGCAGATATCCGCAACGACATCGCTGACTTGCAGAGCAAGGTGTACGGTCGGCCAATGCACTCTCCGGAAGAGGACATTCCTTTGGCGCCAGACAGCTGGAGAGACACAGCGGACAGTTTGGATGCTGGATCGGGGGAGGATTATAAGGAACCTCCGTCTCAAACAGGCCGGTGGTCCAAAAGGAACAAGAAGAGAAAACCAGGGCGAGAGAGAACAAACTGATCACACTGATAATGATGGGAGGCCTTGAATGCTGTCAGGTGTAAATATTGAAGCGGTCTGCTTTTGTATTTAATGGTTTTTAAGAACATATTTTATGCAGTTTTATTACAGATGTTTATTTTTTTATAAGACTTAAAATGGTGTTTCTGTCTTTTAACAAATGTAGGTAGACTTTGGCAGTATTTATGTATTTTAGACTGTATGTTATGAGAAACTGAACAAAACAATATCTAAGGATTGACACTCGTCAAAAGATGCAGAAAATCCCCACAGTTGCTGCTTTGGACCTTATTAAAGTAACTTTAATGTTTTTCATCCATAAACCACCAGAATAATAATTTCAGTTATCAAAGTTGAAGTTTTTGGAAAAGTAGCAGCACTGTTCATTTACTTGACTGATAATCAACGTTATTTATGTCCAAATTAAGATTATTTGTGGCCTGAATGGTTGTTTTAAAATGTAATGTACATTTTAGTTTTTTAGTTTTACACAGATGTGCTCCAGTTATGGGCCTGTTGTGAAACAGCCCCTGCTAAAGACATCCTCAGTTTACAAAACTGTTTGCAGTATGTTTGAAAAACATTAATCTGAATTAAAGAATTATGCCACCTTTATTTTTGATATGAAAACAGAAATAAATATACTTCAAAAGTAGTGTCCAATTTTAATAACTGGATAACAATATATTGCACATGAAAAGATAGAACAAGCATCGTGATGACTAAATTCTTTGTTTAGTTAAAAAATGGCTCAGGTATGGAGAAAATAAACAAACTGTAAACATTGGCTAATACAAAGCAGTTTAACTCATTAAAGTTCAGCTGATGAGTCTTAATGGTTTTCTCCACAAGAGGGAGAAATCACATAGAAGACTTAAAGGACATATAAAGAGAAGAAGGTAACATATTACAAAAAATGTATCTCTTTATATTTCATTTAACTTCTCAGAAAAATATGATTGCTATTTGATTAATGTAATATTTATTTTTCTAGAGATCAATAAAGACCAACTCAGACCTCTTAATTCAATAGAAAACTTGCTTCTGAGAAGGTACCCAGAAATGCAGTACCCTTTTAACCATTGAGCATTTTACAAATGTATGTGATTCAAGGGAAAGCTATTTTCAATCATTTCATATTTTATACAGTGAATATTTGATTTTGTAAAGAAAGATGCAAACCCTCCACTTTGTGTTGAATGAGAAAACATTCGTGGCATTTTCTCCCTGTTTCCTGTACACCAAGATGGACAGTCTCCCCAAGCCTGCAATAACAAAATGCTCATCCCTTTTGAGTCCACTAGATGGCAGCCTTTTCCCATTCTCAGACTCCGTGACTGTGGTCCTTTCGCTAGAGCACAGGACATGGAGCCCAATGAACTCAATTAAATTTGCAGTTTAAATCACAAAGAGATGCAATATGGTAATCAAAACCCAACTGTGACTAATGTTTTCTTGTTTATTTTAGGACTCAAGCCACCAGTTGCCCTTCAACAAAAGACTCACTCAGAAACTGACTCATCCCTATCGGAGTAATTATTTTAAGCAATTTGTTCCTGGAAGCAATGAATGATCAGCACATTTTAAACACGTGTTAAGCTCGGGGTAAAGTCTAAAAAAGCCCCTGCTGTCCAGCTGCACTGATCAACATTCTTGTTTGCCATACCAACGGCAAAACACAAAAGCAAATTTAGGAACTTTTAGATTTTTGTTGAACTTCTGAGTTTCCCACATCTGTACTCATGTGCAGCAGATCAAGAAAAACAAGACAATATATGCCCATAAAATCCCTGCTGGAAATAATTAATCACCAACAAACAGAGAGGAGCCTTAAATGAATTTAACGATTTGCTGAAGAGGCCCCTTGTCTCCACTTACAGCTCCCTGCTCGTCCCCTTCATTATTTAGAACCACACACAAAAAGATGCAGCGCTGAACGGGCACGCACACACACACACACACTAACATGAAAAAATGTTTCATAGCAAATGAATGAGGAAGTTACTATGCTGCCATAGAGCCCCTAATGAGGTAATTTTATTAGAAGCGGCTGCCCAGAACAGTTGGAAATGGATGGGGGAAACAAACAGGGTAGAGAAAATTAGTGTTACCCAATTCATTAATTAATGCGTCAGTGTGGGCAGCAAATTAACTGCCCCAAATAATCTTCTATTCAGTGAAGATTATGATGGCGGGGAGAAAAAAAATACATTGTTGCCCTTCAACGTAATTACAAGACAGTGCAAATTCAATTCTAATGAGGTGAAAGGCACCCCCTTAACATACATCCCCTAGTCCCCTTCTCTGAAAAGGCCCGCTCTTGTTGAGGCCTAAGTTTAAGGAAGTATTGAGAGCGAACGAGACAATGCTGAGAGATCGGCCCGGGCCTGAGTGCTTTACATGCTGCAAACAGGTAGAGGGGACTGAATGGCTCTCTTTCTGGGACTCCTGGGGGGCCTGTCTTCCCAGCATAACAACACTTGGCCCCGAGAAAAGGGTCCGCTGAGGAGCCCCGGAGAGTGAATGGGCCTGCGCCGCAATGGGTCACCCTGAATGGCCACAAGTTCTTCACTGATTAAAAACTATGTTGCGCCGGCCCCGGGGCCACGCACATGTGCGCAGACACACACAGAAGCACACACTCTGCCTCTCATTGAGTTATCTTTACTCATGCTTTGTCTCCTCTAATTGGAGCTGATGAGTGACTAATTGGTAGCTTTTTTACAACACCCAGCACTTAAGCGATGGCAAGCCGAGGGAGGCAGCATGAGCGGAGTTAATGAGAGGCTTTGCACAAATAAGAGCTTTAAAATGGGCCTGTCTCTCAGAATGGACGTAAAGGAAAGTTGAGGATAGCTTTTGTGTCCCCCACATCTTTCACTTTATGTGCAGGTATCTAAAAAGGAGAAGGAGCGGTGGAGGGCACCCAGTGGTTGCTGAAACGCTGAGCACTTGTGCGAATAAAGGGATCTGTTCTGTATTGTTTGGAGCCCATCGTTTAGTGTGTCTGCTAATAATGAGAAAGAACTGCTCCTCAAATGAATGTGGCAAAGTCCTCAGGGTACAATGAGTGCCTCTCTTGCTTGGACCACACTGCACCATGTTGAAGCAATCTGAAATAAAGGTTTCGTCCTTGAGCATTGTTAGGGGTGAGTATGTGGCCTATGTGCACAGAACTGAGCCAACAAATATTACGGCAGCAATCCTCCATTAAAGCCATGGAATACTATTTGATTTTCTTTTTTTTTTCTTTCTTTCTTTTTATTTTTTTAGATTTTTGTAATAAAGTTTATACCAGTTCTAAAATCAGACTGAACAGTTTTCAAATGTTGTCAAACCTTATGGATGTTTTTACATTTTTGCAAAACTACAGCCATGAACTTCAATGTTTTTCAGTAGAATTTTACTTGACAGGGCAAAGTAGGGCTTAATTGTGCATATTGTACGGTTTTCAATGGTTAACAAACAGATTTGAAAGGTGTGACATACACTTATTCTGCCTCTCTTATTTCAATTCAAGGAATACAGCAGACTGCTCGAGTTGTGAAGAAATTTAAACAAGGACTGGATTTTAAAACAGTATCCAAACCTTTGAACATCTCATTGAGAAATGTTCAATCTATCATCTGACACTGTAAAAAGAATAACCAAACAAGTATTACCAAGACATGATTGACAGGCCTGGAAATGAGAGTTTTACTCAGAGAAGCAGTAAACATGTCCATTGTAATCTCGTCAGAATTAATTGGAAGATGGATAGACCTAAATACAGGAAGATTTTGGAAGAAAACCTGTTGCAAGTTTCAAAGACTTCAGCAGTATTATTGCTTCTGGCTTTGCACATCTAGACACTAAAATTCAAACCTTTTTTTAAAAAGAAAACATGCTAAATAGGTCAAAGAATGTCAATTGGATTTGTTTTGCCATTTTAACACCTGAAAATACTTTAATCCAAACCATCCCTTTGTATCTCTGGCTACATTTTGCTAGTAGATAAACTTCCCCCCTAATCTCAAATTGTTTGCACTTTCCAGTAACTCTGAATGGATTTCACCTGTCATAAAAAAAAAGAAAAGAGTAAATGTTTCGGTGTTTAGACTTGCAAAGCTAGCATAGACATACCCTGATGCTGTTATTAATCTTCTGGTATTAATGCATTCTGTCATCTAAACAAACACTGAGTTGATATAATATTGGTTTCCTTTGTGTTTTATGAACACCACGACGCAACATGCGTCGTTTAACTAAACCCACAGTGTCACACTGGGAGGCGGCGAGTCACTCTCCCTTTTCCCCTGATGGGACATTGGTTATACAAACATCTTTAGATGGCTTGATCCCCCAAACAACACAAAGCCCCATCCACAGTACAGGAACTGTTTGTTTTACTCGTTAAGTCTAGTTTACAACCACTAGTTAAAATTACAAAAAAAAGCACAATAAAACTCTCAGGAGATGTGAAGATGTGAGAATTATATATACGTAAATGTCAGTCCTTAGAGCAAATTAACAATCTAAATCAACTAACTGTCACTTTCAGGATTACATGTGCTGAAGTATGTTTAATTCACTGGGCAAATGTTTGTGCTGACTCATGTGAAAGGCCATTGACAGTTTCAGTGACCCATTAACATCCTATAGCTTTCTATTGTTGCTGCGTAAATGGCCTATTAGCATTGTTTTTGAATTCAAATCCTACATTTTCTGGCATAAAGAGTGGTTTAACTCTCTAATGAGGGCTCCAAAAAAAAAAAAAAAAGGGATAAGGCTTCTAATCTCTCTGCTCCCTTAAACTACTGCAAACAATTATGAAAGGTCAAATTTAATGCAATCAAACTGTTTTGCTTGTTCATGGAAATCATCAAAGTTAATTGTTGGAAAAAAAAAACGTCTGGTTAAATCTTTTCTCATTTAGACTTAACGCGTGTAGCTCAGTCTTTGGCATTTATTGACCATTTGCCAGAGGAGTCCAAATTACCAGATTAGTGTCACAACAGCTCGTTTACTTTTGTTTTGTTGTTTGTTGTTTTCCTGAACCCGCAATCAATGGGCCTCTCCTGGAGATGAAGCAGGAGGAAGCTGGTTGGAGTCGATGGAAAATGAGAAGCACATAATTGTATTTTCTCCATTTCACACTGTGGCATTCAGACTGCAGTGAAAGCTCTTCCAGCCAGGCGACCAACTGTGTAATCTGTCACTGAACTTTAAGTGGCTGGCAGCACTGGCAGTACAGGTAAAGAGAAGGATGGACTCGGTACTATTTAAACCATCATCAAATTATAGGAAATCTAATTTCAAGGTACTTTGCAAGATGAACAGGTTCAATTCAAATCGATCCAATTCGTTCTAGCCAGGTTAAATAATCAAGTACACACAGTCTGGCATGATACTATTCAGTAGAGAGCTACAAAAGTCAGTTGATCCTGTAGTTTCAAATGGTAAGCTGCGCTAAATCTAAGGAAGACTGATTGATAGCTTTAAGTTATTGACCTTACTGCAATCTCTCATCTGAATGGAGAAAATCATCCCCCTCTTGACAGAAATAAACCCCCAGCAGTACCCGGCTCAGCGTGAGTACATCTAAGATTGTTGCATTTCTCCTAATTTAATTTGCATTGTAAACATTTTATGATCTTCCGAAAAAAGAAAACTGTCGATTTGTTATTGGCCACTCTTTATTTATTATCACAAGTGGCCAATCTAAGGAAAATATCCCAACTGTTTCATGCTGGATTTCTGAGCTTCTAAATAACAGAAAGCTACCATATTCACATTTAAATCAATTTCACCAATTGTGCCTAAAAAGAGTGGTAAGATAGACTACCAGAATTATTCCATAAGCCTGTTAATGGCTACAAGAAATGTGAAGTTTTCTCTGCAACATGCTATTAGACAACTGCATGCATATTTTGGATCCTGCGAGCGTAATTCTGAACATGTGGGAATTCCAGAAAATCAACAATAGATTAAGCTTTATGTTACTAAGTAGTTGCATAGCTCCTACTGATGTATCATTTTCTTTGTC